TTTGCAGCTTCAAAACTCTATCTACGACTAACTAATTTAGATTCATATGTATCAATTCAATTGTAGATTATGGCCCTGTTTGGGAGGAATTAAATTTTTCTATAGTAAATCAATTCTCATTTTCAACCACACATGTTTCAATAAAATAATATTTTCCATCACATCAATAATATTTTCTGTTTTTTCAACCACACATTTCCCATCATATCACTATTCAAAATCAATTCTTCCCCCAAAAATCTCTCCCAAACAAGCTCTATGTAATCTCTAGTTACTAGATATATATCTTCTTATTTCTCTCATTAGGACTCTGTAATCTTGTTATTTCTTCCTGTATTTATACAGATGTAATACACAGCCTTGGCAATTAAGCCAGCTATTCGTGTCACAAGGTTTCCTTGTTTATATACTTTCTAATTATTCTTACAGGTCGTTCTCCACGCTTGTTCATGCGTTGGTCATGATTAGACTGCCCATTGGAAGAGGAATTTCTGGATTCCAAGGCTGATCCTTCTAGGGCAGGTAGAAGTGGTGATGGATCATCTGTTAACATCACCTTTCGAAGGCCCTCTTCAAGTCGAACCTCAGCAAAAGCTTCCTCTGTGGAAGGAAATGGATCTTGTGCCACCACTCGACCTCATACCTCATCTAAATTACGATTGAGACCAGCAAGGAAATCATAGACTCGTTCTTTTTCAAGGTTGCGCCACTGTTTGACACTACACCCAGCGCAAGAGGAATCATCCTCAAATAAGAGATCAAGTTCTTGTGAGGGATACATAGTAGCTCTAGGAGGAATATCATTTCTCAACATACCTAGTTCACCTTTTTTTTGTCCCTCATTTAATCAAGAATATACTTGAACTCTACATCATATATTGTATTCAAAATTGTGCCAAAATTCCAAATAGTTAACACAATCGTCCGACTGGTGAATACAAGCATGTTAGATCTTTTTCTACTTCAATTTCTTACCTTTAAAATATCTATTTTCCTATCCATATCTCGTTAGACCAAATCATTCATGATAATTGGCAATATGCTAAAGTAATAACTACATTATGAAGTCTTGAAAAATAATCAAACGTCATAAGGATATATTAAATGAGGTTATATATACCTTAGGGGCTCACACAATGAAGAAACAAGAATCCATTATTTCATTTTTTATTGTTCGTCCAAGCACACATGGTCTAATACACATTCTTTGGTGTTTTTCCACGTCTTAGAGTATATGTTATATTCTACAAATAAATACACCATACAGATCTTAGTTCAAATATTTCTTGATGTCTAACTTGAGTTCTCCTTATAGTTATTCCTCTAGAAAATATCAATCAAAAACTTGACCTAGCAAATAAAACGGGTCTAATGGATAGTGGAATCCACTTCGATTAGTTATAGTACTCTTATCTTGATTTTTATTTTTATTTTTTGTCAAAGCGATTAGATAGTGTTCTCAACTTAATCACTTTATCTCATCTCAGTACATTTAAAATGTCTGAGGCAATTACTCGTGCGAATGAGCCAATCTTTATCTTTTCGACGTAGTTTTCATGTGTGCATACATATTACTCATAAGTAATCACATCGAGGAATGATCTAAAAAAGATTTTTTCGTTGAACGACATTTAAAAGTTTACAAAATACATCACAAAATTCTATGCAATCTTAGAGATTTAACATCAGAAACAAGTCATCTCTAGATATTGTTTTAGTAAGCGGATTAGCTACCATATAATGAATATAAATGTACTGTAAAGTCACTTATTTCTTAACTATGACATCTTTTACAAAATTATATTTTGTATTAACGTGTTTGGTCCTGTTATAATATTTAGGATCCTTAGGATACGCAATAGTAGGTTGACTATCATAATAAATCAATGGAGGTCCCACATCTCATTAATGATTCTTAGTTGCTGAAAGAATCTCATTAACCAAATAACTTCTTGTAATAGTGAAGCACATGCCACATATTTCTGCTTCCATTGTAGACAATGAAATTCACGTGCTACTTATACTCCATGAGATGGTGCTATATTTAATAATGATGCATATCTCGAAGTTGATTTGTACTCAATTAGGTATTTATCCAATCATCATCTGTGTATCATTTTAAGTACAAATCATTTCCATGATAGCATAAGAAATCACTAACGGTATTCAGGTATCTCAATATCCTTTTCACAGCTTTCCATTGACTTCTTATGGGATTAGATTGATACCCATTAATAAGACCAATGATATAAAAAAATTTAGGGCGAGTCCCAACTATGGTGGAGTATCGTCCTATGGGCATTTCTTCTTTTTCTTTAAAAATCTTAGGAAACATCCAAAGAGTAAGAGTTTTGCCTCTAGAAACATGAGTGTCTATGGGGTTGCAACTCTCCATTTTAAAGCATTCAAGAATTTTCTTTGTATATGACTCTGTGACATAGTAAGAAGTCACTTTGAACAATCTTTATGGGTTTTAACAAGTATGTAATTTTCTTCACTCATATCCTTCATTTAAAAATTTGAGGACAATCATTTCTTGATGGTCTCTACATACTCCATGTCATTTCTAGCTAACAAGATCTTGTCTATGTAAATAGATATATTTTAAAGATTTATATTGGACCTTTCCAGATAAATATAGTAATCTTCGTCCAACATCACGAAAATTGTACGAGATTAAAGCTCTGTCAAATCTCAAAACTTGGAGAAATGAAGTGTAAGGGAAAGAATGGGTGGGGATTACTTTCGAAACCTTTTTGTATTAGCTCTAATTTTTGCGTCCTAATCCATTTGAGATGGCGGGGGGACCACATCCAAAAAAAAAAGGAACA